GCGGTTCGAACTCCGGCTAGTGCCGCGCCTTCTCTGGCCTTCTGTCTCTGGTCTCAGCCCTCCAGCCGCCAGTGAGAGTCCCGCGTGGGCCACAACCACGCCCACCTATCAGAACCGCGGAGAAAGGAAGTGCGTGTCTCTGCCTGAGTTCTTAGTTCGGAATTCTGCTTGTTCCTCCCGTTTTTCTGGGACAGCGGCAGGGCTCTCCGGCCAGGGATTCCCTTAGGTCTGGGCTTGCACCCCGGTCTCCGGGTCCAACTCCGGGCAGAGTGGGGAGGGTTCGGGAGGAAGCTGACACCTGATACCTCAGGTAGATACATTTGCCCCCTCCTCGGGGCGGGCGGAAGTGAAGCCTTTGTTTCCGTTAAACCGCCTTTGGCGTTCTTGGAGGCCACCGATCCGTCTTTAGAAATTCACATCCCTTCTGCCCGCCAGCTAACCCGTAACCGTTTTCTCTTCTAGTCCACCATGCTCCCTAAATCTGACGTGTTGAGTCAAGATGAACTGCGCAAAAAGCTGTACCAGACGTTTAAGGATCGGGGTATACTGGACTCACTGAAGGTATCACTTTTAGGCATATCTCTTACATAAATTTTACAAGGGTAACCTGTAACAGGTAGTCCACATGTAAAGACGTCCATGTCTTGGGTTTAAAAAATAGCATGATACACAGATTGTATTGGTGAATTACACTGCTCTGTTCCTGTGTAACTGTTAAATCGTAAAACAAACACATTTTAGTAAGGTTAGTAAGTGAGTTAGTAAGTGGTTTTGTAATACTCATATTTGGACAGAGGATATTGTCACCATATAGAAAACATTAAGGGACTGCTTACTGTAGAAAAGTTGGGGGAATGAGGAATTTTTTCTTTAAAATATATTGAAATGTATAAGTACTTGAGCAGCAAATACTTCCTGGTACACTTTCATGTATGAATTAACAGCAAGGAGTAGGATTAGCTGAAATGTGTTTTCATTACTATATACATTTCAAAAGACCATTTTACACTTAAAATGGGAAATTAAGGACAGTTTTTTTCTTGTCTCCATTGTTTTTGTAACTTAAAAATACTTCAGACTCATCTGAAAAATACTTCAGACTCATCTGAAATATAGAAAAGCATACAAGAGGAGTCATCTCTAATACAAGTACTAATTGGCATAATGTTGTGTGTATTTGTGTATCCTCTTTACTGTTATATGGTGAGCATTTTCCTGTGTCCTTAAATGTGTCTTGAAATCCTCATTTTCATTGGCACCAGGCTCATCTTTGGATCTTTGGACATATGGGTAATTTATGCAGCATTCCTGTTATTGAACATTTAGGTTATACCCAGGTTTACACATTCCTTCAATTGCATCTCTCACTTTTTGCCTAGGATAGATGAAGTGGTATTAATGAATCAAAGGGCGTGAACATTTGTAAGGTTCTTGGTGTACACGTCTTGTTTTAAAAAGGTTGTAATACAGCTGACCCTTGAACAACACGGGTTTGAACTGCTCAGGTCCACTTATTTGTGGACTTTCTTCAATAAATACCTACTACAATACTACACTGTCTGTGGTTGGTTGAATCTGCTGATGCAAAACTGGGGATATGGAGGGGGCTCCTAACCCCCGGTGGTTCGAGGGTCAACTTCAGTTTATATTCCACCAGCAGTTTGAGAATGCACGTCTCTCTCCAGTAGTATGATCATGACATGTTTTAAACCAGTCTAAGACTGAGAAACTCTATTTTAACGTTCTTTTATCAGTGAGGTTGCGTATATTTTCTGGCCATTTGTATGTTTTCCATGGATTGGTGTTTCATGTTCCCCTTGCCCATTTTTTTTCCCTAGGGTGCTAGTGTTTTCTTATTGATACGAGTCCTTTTAATGGAAGCTTAATCTTTTTCCCATTTTTGTGACAACACTATCTGTCTTCAATTTTAATTTGGCTCTAAAAATACTGAAGTTACATTTTTATGTGGTCAAGTCTGTTGTTTACTTTTTTTGTGCTGATTATTCTGTCATTTTCCACTGACAATGAATATTCACTTTTTTTAAGTTTTTAAAAAGGCTTTTTTTTTTAAAAGTTAATTCCTTAACCCACCTGAAATTAGTTGTAGTATATCACGCATTAGTCCACTTTCTTAGGCGGAATGGCTCTTGCCTCTGGGCATGGTGTTTGTTCTCTTACTGTCCTTTGGGCTTGGTTTGGTAGGGTTTTACTTCATGTCTATAGTCCAGTTGATAATGACCTATCATTATCCATTTGGAGCTATCCTTGTTAGGCTTTGGTATCAGGATTATGCTAGCCTTGTTCACTTTACAGCTGCAGCCTATCCTAAGGAGAAATACCGTTTCTTGTTTGCAGCTGGCCATTCAGTTTGTTATTCTAGCGTGATCAATGGCAGGGAGGATTTTGGCAGGGGAGATTTTTACTTTCTCAGTCTGAACCAATTTACTTTCTTAGTTTAATGACCTGAGTGAGTTCTAATTTTTACAATTGAAGTTTTGAGTGGCCTAATTCACTTTCTCTTTGGGTGTTTGGAAAGAATTTGTATTTATGATTAAGTACAGAGTCATATGGGTATCTGGTAAATGAAGTTTATGAAAAATCTTCTTTTTCCTTATTTTGAGTCTACTCTGTCAATTGCTGAGAGATGTGCTGAGGGTTCCGGGTCCCTAAGTCTTGTCTCTCCTACTTCCCCTCCCCCCACAATAATTGGCCTTCTTTCTTTCTTTTTCTTCCCCCCCCCCCCAGCAGAGAAAGGTTTATTGCAGGGCCAAGCAAGGAAAACAGGTGGCTCATGCTCAAACCTGAACTTCCCTATGGTTTTTTGGGGAGAAGTTTTCATAGGCACAATTTGGGGTGAGGGCTCTGTCCTTATTTCTGTCTTAGGGACGTTGCAAGCTTTAATTCTGAATAGATTTCCCTCTTGTCACTGGCTGCTGGAAAGCCCCCCCGGCCAGTTTTTGGATTCCTTCCAGCAAGTGCTAGATGGCATGCTTTTTGGGTGTGTCAAGATGGAAATTCATCTGTAATGTCATTGCACTGTTTGCTACTCTTCCTTTTACCCTGCTTAAATCCCTCATTTAATTCTTAGCCATTTCAGTACTTGTTTGCCAGACACCCTAAATCCTTTTGTTAATTAAGATGAATCTAAGTATATTTCTTCATTACTATGTTACAAATTTAATTAAACCACTAAAGTTTACTGGTGGAGGAGGCTTTAATTTTCTCTTCAGTTACTTAACTGTATCAGATGAGGCAAAGCATATATACTCTGTTTAGTGTAAATGTGTTTTTTACTATAGGATTTTATTTTATTTTTGAATTTTTGAATCTTAGTTTTTTATACAGCAGGTTCTTATTAGTCATCTATTTTATACATATTAGTGTATCCATGTCAATCCCAATCTCCCAGTTCATCGCACCACCACCCCACCCCCTGGCCACTTTCCCACCTTGGTGTCCATATGTTTTTTCTCTACATCTGTGTCTATTTCTGCCCTGCAAACCGGTTCATCTGTAACATTTTTCTAGGTTCCACATATATGCGTTAATATACGATATTTGTTTTTCTCTTTCTGACTTGCTTCACTCTGTATGACAGTCTCTAGATACATCCACGTCTCTACAAATGACCCAGTTTCGTTCCTTTTTTATGGCTGAGTAATATTCCATTGTATATATGTGCCACATCTTCTTTATCTGTTCATCTGTTGATGGGCATTTAGGTTGCTTCCGTGACCTGGCTATTGTAAATAGTGCTGCAGTGAACATTGGGGTGCATGTGTCTTTTTTGAATTATCGTTTTCTCTGGGTATATGCCCAGTACTATAGGATTTTAGATACACATGTAAGTTCTGTTCTTTACTACTAATATAGAATATATATAGAACTAATATATTCTCTTTAGCTAAAGGATAGAAGAAAGAGATGTAACGAGAACTTCATTTGTTTCTTGTTTGTATTCTATTAATAATAATTCCTTAGATGTTAATTTACTGCTGAACCCCATGAATCTAGGCAGTGTACTCTTAAGCTCCGCCCAATTGTATGTTTCAGATTATGTGCAAAATAAATTAGAACAAATATCCAGTAGTCTGATTAGGGGATTTTTTTTAAACCAAAATGAGTAATAACAGTGGTATTATAACTTGGAGAAAATTAGCCACCTTGAGCCTAAATTCCTCATTTATAAAATAGGGGAAAATTATTATATTTCATAACGTCTAGAATTGTAAATAGTCTATGTGAAAGTGAATCTTAATAAGCCTTTGTTGGGTTTACTGATTTTTCTCTTGTGTATACTATTTCCCTTTTGGGAACCTAATTTTATTTTGATCAATATACTTGAATATATTTAACCCAGTATTATTTTCATACCCTCCAACAATTTGCAGAGAGGTGAGGAGGTAGCAGAGTTTTCTCCTGTATTTGGTACCCCAATGAAAAGTTGCTGAACTGGGCTCGTAGGGAAGCGAAGTTAGTCTCACCACGTTCCGGCTCACCACCAGTTCACTAGGAAGCTGGTGAAAGCAAGCTACTCTTTCTAGAACCCACTGGGCTGCTTGTCTCACAGGGTAAGACAGAGTGTCCAGTGGAAGGTTCCTAACTTGTGGCCATG